CTTCTTTATTTAAGGGTCTAGATGTTGAACATTTTCATTGTGAAGTGAGTGAACTTGCTAAACGCAAACGTGTATCTTTTCCAATCATAAATAAAAGAAGTTTTATTTCTTTTTATCTCATTCACAGTGATATTTAGGGTCCTTCCACTTTTTCTAATGTAAATGGGGCTAAATGGTTTGTGTCATTCATTGATGATTGTACTCAAGTCACTTGGATTTTTTTACTTAAACAGAAGTCCAATGTCAGGATTGTTCTTCCAAATTTTTGTTCTATGATAAAGACTCAATTTGGGATCAATATCAAAAGATGTAGGTCGGATAATGCTAAGGACTATTTCAACCAAGTCCTAACTCCATACTTTTAGAAAGCAGGAATAGTACATGAGTCCTCTTGTGTTAGTACTCCACAACAAAATGGAGTAGCAGAACAGAAAAATGGTCATCTCCTTGATTCCACAAGATCCTTCATGTTTCAGAAAAATGTGCCTAAATCTTTTTGGGAGGAAGTAGTTCTTACAGCTGCCCACATCATAAATCGTTTGCCTTATAGAGTCCTAGGATTTAAAAGTCCAATGGATGCCCTTTCCATATTCTATCCAAACCTACACACCACAAATAATATTGTTCCTCGTATATTCGGGTGTGTGGTATTTGTTCATGTTAATAGTCAAAACAGGGGAAAATTAGATCCAAGGGCATTAAAATGTGTGTTTTTGGGATATTATTCAACTCAAAAGGGGTATAAGTGCTATCATCCCCCATCAAAAAGGTTTTGTCTCAGTTGATGTGACCTTTCATGAACAAGAATCCTATTTCAATATTTCTTATCTTTAGGGGGAGAATTCATGAATGCAAGATAAGGATAAGGCATATTTTTTGCTTCTTGATCTGCAATCATCATCACTTCATGTGTCAAGACAGCCTAGTCCCATTGATGTTTCCACCGAGCCCATTGAAAATGTTCTTCCCACCGAGCCCACTAAAAATCCAAATCCCGAGTCTCCTGTAAATCCACCTACAAATCCGGCCCTTGATAATGTGAGATTTAGCAAAGGCAAGGTGTTCTCGAGAAGAAAGAAGGTTTTCCCTGAATCTGTGCAAGTCCAAGACTCTAACCTAAATCTTGAGAATGAGGTAACAATTTCTAATCCTTCTTTTCAATCTGAATCTGAGATAAACAATGATGACCATGACCTCCCTATTGCTATTAGGAAAGGAGTTAGAGAATGCACAAACCGACCCCTATACCCTCTTGCACAATGGAAGCAGGCTATGAATGTGGAGATGGAGGCGTTAGAGAAGAACAAAACTTGGGAGTTAGTGAAGTTGCCTAAAGGAAGGAAACCCGTAGGGTGTAAATGGGTTTGTATGATAAAATATAGAGCAGATGGATCAATAGAAAGATACAAGGCTAGGTTGGTGGCAAAGGGTTATACTCAAACCTATGAGATTGATTACCAAGAAACGTTTGCTCCGGTTGTAAAGATGAACATTGTTAGAGTTTTATTGTCATTGAACTAATTATGATTGGGATTTGCAACAGTTTGATGTCAAGGATACATTTTTGCATGGAGAACTAGAGGAGGAAATTTATATGGAGGTCCCACCGGTTTATAACATAGGTTTGGTTGCTGGTACAGTATGTAGACTAAAAAAGGCCTTGTATGGACTTAAGCAATCACCGCGAGTATGGTTTAGGAGTTTGCTAGAGTGATGACAGCTATGGGATATAGGTAGAGTCAAGGAGATCACATTTTGTGTAACACCCACCTAGTCTAACCTTAAAATTACCAAGTTATGCTAGGTATCATTGCTCTTTTAAGACTTGTTTTTAACTTACCTTGAGCTTTCTTTAGATTGTTAACATTAAAATGTGGGACCAATTTGAACTTTTTAAGACTTTCTTTGCGCAATGGTACAAAAACATGATTTTAGTATTTCTTTTGACTAACGTCCCATATATACAGTATAATACATATCCCAAAAATAGATCTGACAGTTCTTACAAATAAAAACAAGAGCATAGTAAATAGTTAGTAACTCAGGGTCTCAAACAAGTCAACATCGTCCATATACAAAAGTCCTGGTACTAAGGATGACACCAGCCAACCACCAAAATAATGTACATCTAATGTCAGGATGTGTCTTCATCTGCATCACCATAAACAAGTGAGATAAAGCCTATGAGAATATGTGAAAAACCACATACTTAGAAATTTAAACGCGATGTGAATCAAACGACAGGAATTAAGTTGAAACCATGGTCCGACCAAGAGCGGCGGTGGCTCGAAGGCCAAACAATGTGGAGTTGGCTAATATGATTGCCAACATGCAGTAACAACTGAATACTCAACCTCAAGAGATGCAAGGCCTCCGTGCTCTACCCGTGCAGTGATACCAGGAACAACCACGTGGTGAGGCACCTACACCTCCTGCGGCTCAAGCTCCTCCAGTTACACCTGCTATGCCGGCAGCCCTGGCGGCTCAACCTGTTGTTCGTCAAGAGCCATTGTATAAGCGATTTCGATGCAAGTGAAGGCTTGACTAACCCACTGGAGGTTGAGGAGTGGTTGACCTCCCTGCAAGTTGTGTTGGAATTTATGGATCTCACTGATCAAGAGAATGTGCTATGCGCATCTTATGTAATGAAGAAAGATGTGAGATAGTGGTGGGAAACTGTTTCTATCAGGAGAGATGTCCTCCAGATGACTTGGGTTGATTTCATTGAAGAGTTCAATACCAAGTTGTACAATAGAATGGCCATGAGGGCTCAATAGAATGAGTTCAACATGATGAAATAAGGGTCCATGACTGTGACTGAAGCGGTTAGGAAGTTCGACCAACTAGCCCACCTCGTCCCCACCTTATGCCTACCGAGGGAGAGCAAGTGAGGAGAATGCTTGAGATGTTCTGACCGGAACTTGCAGTTGTGATTGACAGCGGTAATGCTCTGCTAACCACTGTTGCTGAATGTGTGGAGATGGCTCTTCGTGTAGAATACTGCCTTGCCCAAGCAAGGGAAGAGAGGGCCAAGTTCTTTGAGGCCAAGAAGAAGGAGAAAGCTCAATCGAAGCAGAACCAAGATGTGTGCCAAAAGGGTCAAGGTGGCCATGCTAACCACAATGGTAACCCTGTGAGTCAGAACAATGGAAACAATAAGAGGGAGGATAGTTACAACTACAACAACCGAAACCAGAAGAGTCAACCTCAGAAAAAGAGTAACACCAACATTCCTCTGTGTCCTAAGTGCGGAAAGACGCACCGAAGGGAGTGCAGACTTGGTACCAACAGCTGCTATCGTTGTGGTAAGGAATGCCACTATGCTAAGAATTGTTACTCCAACCCCTAAAACCAGGAAGCTCAAAGTTCTCAAAGGCTCCAGATTGCGCAACTCCGCTCTATGCAAGCTCAGCTTGAGGGTCCTCAGATTAACCAAGGATGCTTAGAAGCTCCTCCTGCCCTGACTGCTCAAATTTGTGCTTTCACTAAAAAAGATGTGGAGGCTGGGACATCTAACGTGGTTACAGGTCACCTTTCTATAGTCAATACTAAAGCACATGTTTTATACAATTCAGGAGCAACTCATTCCTTTGCATCACATGCGTTTGCAAAAAAAAACTTCTTTAATCCTCTTTACCCCGCTTTTTGAACCAGAAGAAGAATAATAACAACGGCATCATAATTCAGTCTTCTATATTAACTAGCAGTCTTATATTCAATGGATCATGATGGGGTACTTTTACACCAGTTTAATTTTATGTATTCCAAAAAAAAAATAGATTTATCTAGTAGCTTGACCTCCACTTGCATCAAGGATACTGAGAAGAAGAGGAAACATAATCATTTGGACCTTCCCGATGGTTCTGGTTGGGGAGATCACATCTAAATGCTACAAATCTATGAGTGCTGGCATCAAACCGACTGTAGTATTGATTGGTGCAAGGACAATGGCTTGCATGTATCTTTTACATTGGCAAATATTGACATGTTCCAATAGAATCAATCTTACGAGTATAATTCATTTTCACATGTTCAAGCTTAAACAATTAGGTGGAGTCACACTGGTTATCTAACAGCCAAAAGATGAGTATATTCTTTTGGGTCCCTACCATATTTCATATTTGAATCCTTTCTTTAGATGTTGTCCTTGAACTCTACTCTGATGCTGAACATGCATTTTGTTTTCCATCATATACGCCGGATTCTTGTCATTAGAGGGGAATCTGTTTGAATTTGATAGACGAATTATGACTAAGACATGTATGTTTTTGTATTGATAGAGGAAGAAGAGAAAGTAACATTTTTTTACGTTCCCTATTGTAGGTGAAAGGGATGGCTTTTGTTAAGGACGTCCGGAAACAGTTGTGTCAGATAATGGAGAAAATTGCAAAAGGTAAGCTACATCATAGCGAGCTCTAGAGTAGATATCAGTCAAATTATTTTAAATTAGCTTTTTATGTTTTGATAGAATTTTCTTCACACATCCCTCTCACACGGTGGGTGGAAATGTGCACCTACATTCATACATTATAAAGTCAACCTTGGATTGGTTTATCTAAAGTTTAGAAGTTTTTAGTCTCGTTCATTTTATGACTCAAGTTATATTGCTACAATGTTTTCTCTCACAAAAATTCAAATTTAACTTTTTTACTATAATATTTTTTCTAACATAGACAACTCAAGTCATGACTTGAGTTGTGCAAATGAACATACCCTTTACGATTCCAGTGCTCTGTTACCTTAATTATGTTTCCCCTGCACTGCAGCTACTGCTTTCACGTTCTTGTTATGTTGTTTCTGATAACAGGATCACCAGACGTACGGACAAGCCGAATATGGAGAGAACCACATGTAAACCAGCTTGCTGAGAGAATATACATCACAATGGATATTGAACATTAGGTTTTAAGCCTCAAGTGGTACAGGTATACGCTTCAAAAGTTGTACATCGTTCTTGATGTAAATTGAGAGTAAAAATTGAAAAAATTGTATTATTGGTATTATTGCACTACAATTACACCTGGGTTGGGTTTATATACAGAAGCCCTAGCCTCAGAAGCGGCAATTATAAGGTTATATCTCATCCCATATTCTGTGGGATATCCCAATAAAAACATAAAGTAACCAAATCAACCTAATTTTAGGAAAACTAACTATTATATTCAAACTTTCCTAATTTAGTCTATACGCGTGTAAAATAAATTTTCCCACACTCCCCCTCAAGCTGGTGAATAGGTATTCAGCATTCCCAGATTGGATACAAAACTCTAAAACACTGAACTACTTAAACCCTTGGTGAGTATATCAACAAGTTGGCCATGTGTAGATACATAAGGTATAAGATCAGTCCATTGTCCAACTTTTCCTTGATGAAGTGTCTGTCAATCTCAATGTGCTTCATTCAATCATGTTACACCAGATTGTGAGCTTGTTGATTGTGGATTTGTTATCACAATAGAGTTTCATAGGGCCATCCCACTTAATCTTCAGATCCTCTAGAACAATCTTTAACCATAGTAGTTCACACACACCTTGAGCCATTGCTCGGTACTTTGCCTCAACACTAGACCGTGCTATCACATTCTATTTCTTACTCTTCCATGTCACTAGGTTTCCATCAAAGAAGGTGCAATAATCAGAAGTTGATCTTCTGTCAATAACTGACCCAACATAGTCAGCATCTGTGTACGCCTCAAGAACTAACCATCCATTCCTCTTAAAAAGGATGCCTCTACCTGGTGTCCCTTTGAGATATCGCAAAACTCTATATGCCACCTGCAAATGAACTTTCTTTCGATTGTGCATGAACTGACTAATCACGCTCACTGCATACGCTATATCTGGCCGAGTGTGAGAAAGATAAATAAGCCTCCCCACCAACCGTTGATACATTTTTCTATCCACCATAGCATCTTCTTCTGCCTCTCCAAGCTTAAGATTCGGTTCTATTAGAGTACTCACTGGTTTGCATGTTGTCTTGCTGGTTCTTTTGAGTAGATCTGTAACATACTTCTATTGAGAGATGACGATGCCTTGCTTAGAATGAGCCACCTCAATCCCAAGAAAATACTTCAATCTTCCTAACGTCGTGATCTCAAACTCCTAAGCCAAACATTGACTTAAAAGCTACCTCTCCCTATCATCATCACCTGTCACAATTATGTCATCACATAGACCAATAGGGTTGTAACTTTACCTGAAGATGAGTGTTTAATGAACAAAGTTTCATACCCAGAATTCTCACATACTCGTTGGCCAATGCATTTCATGATATTTTAGCATCATGCATATGATACATGAACACTTAGTCATTTTATATGAAGTTATTTGTCATAATGGTGTGCATTGTAATTTGAAGTGAATTATATGTTTGATATGTTCATTATATAGGCGAATGACTCGGGGTTGCCCAAGAGAAGGATCCGGTAAGTTGGGAAATGGACAACAACTTGTTCTTAATGATATTTACAAGAATTACTAAGTGAAAAGTAAAATATGGAGTCCTAATGGGGCTTTAGGGCAAGTTTAATAAAAATGTACATATTGGTGTAATGTGTGGAAAGGTTTGGACTTGAGTTAATGTGCCAAAGAGACTACTTAAGGCGATTCTAAGGTTGAAATAAGGTTAAGAAAGGGATGATGATAAGGGTTTAATGATCGTGTTACTTTAGAAGCCCTAAATTAAGCATATTTTGGTATTCGAGTTTGTGGAATCAAATTGAGATTTTATTAAGGTTCTAAAGGAATTATGGATCCTAATAAATAAGGTAAGAATGCAATAGAAAGTGATTATGTTAGATGTTTAAAATTGAATGAAAAGTATGGGAGATGTAAAGTTAGGATTTGTCACATACTGAAATTTCGGTGCAAGCTCATACACCAAATTTAGTAGGCCAATTGATTGGCTAAGACCTTGTTCATACTTTGGGAATTTGTGTGAGTGTTGTGTGCATGAGAAGGTGGTGAGAGAGCTGCTTAAGGTAATATTAGATTAGATGAGAGGAGAGTGCTTCATGGTTAAGTAAATTGAGATGCCTACTTGTCTCTTTAAAGTGTTAAGCAAGGAGGTGAAGAGGAATCAGCCCCAAAACCTTCTAGTCTGACCCTCCTCTGGTTCCAAAGTGCTTCTCCAGCCATTTCTTAAGAAAACCAAAGCAATTCCAAGTGGTTTGATGAAGGATTGATCATAGGAACACCAAGAGATTGAAACTAGTGTAAGGTAAGGTGAATTTTGTGATTCTAGTTTAGTTTCTCTCAAGATTGGTGATAAGTCCTTGCTCTAATCCTTTGGGATTGTTTTAGGGTCTGCTCCAAGAGTTTATAAGAGCTTTCGGAGCTAATCATTTGAATTGGAGGCGGGAGACTCACAAGAAAACCTAAACTAGATCAAGGTAAGGGACAGTTTTGGTTTGGTTCTGTTTTGATGATGATTCAGAAGGTTTTATTTATAGTTAGGTCATTATTTTTGAGATATGAAATCTTTATATGTTAGATTGAAGGCTATAAAAAAGATTGGAGCTAACTCAATTGGAAGATGGTGGTTTAAAGCTTGTTATCTGGGAGATTCATGTCAGTTTTCATTATGCTTCAAGTTTTTATTTATTTACCTAGGCTATGAAGCTCAAATGAAACTGAAAGTTTGAGAATAACTCACTTTATATGTTGACTAAATGCTCCCAAAACCGTTTTAGAAATGTCCTTGCGGTTTGGGAGTTATGGTTTTAAAATTAGGGCTAGTTTCTGAGAATTTTGGTGGTTTTGTGAAAATTTTCTTATTTAGGGTTATTTTGTGATATTAATTTATTTTAGGAGATTAACAGGTATTTTAAGCTTTGGTGAGTGTTAAAATGTAGGAGAAACTCTGAAAAAAATTTAAAAAATGGCTTGGAGGGGTTTAGACGCCATTTGGGCCATTTTAGGGTGGCTGGGCGCACCATGCTACATGATGTGGGCGCCCAGCATGCTGCAGCAGGCCCTGTGAGTGCACCAGTGGGGTGCCAGCAGCTCCTGTGAGCATAGCATGGGGCGCTGGCAGCCATACATGCCCTGCGCGTGCTGTGCAGACTTGTGCATGCTGTGTGCACACGGTTGGTGCCTTGGTGCCCACCTACGTGCACGGTTGAGCCAATTATGCGCCAAAATTGGATTTTTGATCCCTTTTTCTGAGTTTTAGTCATTTTAAGCTCTTCTAAGTTTGAATTGGACATTTTTTTACATTTCTTATCAAAATTTACTATTTTCACCCAAATGACTCTTTTTAATGGAATATTTTTAAGTAAAATCTTTAAGTTATGGAAAATTTGAAAAAAGGTTGTTTTTAGAGGCTTTAAATGAAAAGTGTAATTTGTTGAGCCATTTTAGGCAATCGTTTGATTATTTTAGAAGGAACAAAGTCATTAATCACAAAACTAATGATAATACATTTAAATACCAAACAATACAGTTGTTCACATCGGATCCATCAAGAGGAACCCTAAAGTGATACTTTTTGTCATAAGGTGCAAGGTAAGTAGAATATCACCTGTATCACTATCACCTGTATCACCATAATAATTGTTCATAGTACATTTGTGATATTTGATTATGTGATGTATATGTATAATGCATAAAGTATGTACATGGTACAAAATACAAGAAAATGCTATATAAGGAATGAGTTGATAAACATTCACCAAAGTAATAAAAAGAGTGATAATTTGTAGTGATTAGTAATGAGGCTAAAACAATCCCGATGGAGATAGTAAGGACCACTAAGTCTCTGGGAGACATATGATATTTATTTGGCCACAAGGTCTGGGACCACTAAGTCTCTGGGAGACATATGATAATCATTCTGAAGGCCATAAGGTCTGGGACCATTAAGTCTCTGGGAGACACATGATGCTATTAATAATTGCCACAGGGTCTAAAAATTTGATGAGGTTAATTTTACCATCCCATACAAATTTTGTTCTTCCATTTCAACACACAAGAATTAGCCTCTAGCCAACCAAAGGCTCTGATACCAGTTTGTTGGGAAAACTAACAAACAATTGCGGAATAAAACTTTCCCTCTTTGTGTGCTACAATAGGATCTCAAACAGAATGCCAACAAAGCCAAACAACCAATGCACCAATTAATCAAAATAATCAACCACAAGTGAAATACTAATTTTTAGCGTGGAAAACCTCTCAAATTGAGAGTAAAAACCACGGGACCCTTAGGCCACTTAAATCTCCTCCACTATATTAATAATGAGATTATAAAGTTTCTCTCTAGAATCAAACTAGAGGCTCACAACAATAATATCATCAAGAAATATTATTCTTGGTTCACCAACAATATGGACATCATCAATAAAGATGGATAACAACAATAACACCAAAGAAAAGTTTAGGTCTCACCAAATTAGGAGTACTCGAGAGAGTACTAAAGAGAAGCTAAATGAGAAATCAAGTCCGGTAGATTGGAAGAGCTCGCCACAAGGATTCTCCACGTCAAATTTGAGCCGAAACCAACAACGTTTCGCCACCCAATCATCTTGCACAAACATCAAAATCCTACCCCTTTTCCTTTCCCTCTCTCACATTTTTTCTCTAATTTCCTCGGCTGCACTCTACTTTTTTCGATTATCCTTCTTCTTTTCTTTTCTATTTTTCTGGTTTGCTGCTCACGTGAGCAGCATGCCTTCTTTTTTTTTTTATCCTTTGGGCTTGAAGCCCACTTGTTGTTCCAGCCCACAAATGGGCGGAACCCAATAATATATATATTTCTAATACAGGCTAAAGGAAATTAATTTTCAATCTCTTTTGGTAAAGGAAGTTGAGATTAAATTGTCCTCATCAATGCGCACGGGTTGTGTTGTATTAGGAGGACTTTAGGTAAACCATATCACCATCATATACACGTCATTGATACCACCTAACTATGCATTTTCATTCTCTTACAATTTTCCTTCAAAGACCATTCTTCTTATCTTTAGTCTCAAGATTTGCGTCTTCTAAGAAAAGAACCTTCTTTAGTTTTGTTCATCCGACATTCAATCTTCTGACGATTCTAGAAAAAAGAAAAAAAGAATGAAAAGCAAATGTCCCAAAACAATGAAAGCCAATGAAAGGAAAATTTCGGAGGTAAAATCCCTAAATTTCAAATTCTTTTCTTTATTAAAAGAAAAATTACAAACTTTCGTAAAATGAAAGCAAATGTATTCGCTGCAAAATAATAATAATAATAATAATAATAATAATAAATAAATATATAAATAAGCAAATGTTTCACTTTAAGACTTGATGTATGCAACAACTAAAAGAGAAAACGGGGGAACTCGCCCTTTGAATGTACTACTATGTGGGGTTGTTTAAAAGTTATATTTAAAATTAATTTATGATTCTACTCCAGTATTTTTTATTTCACAAAGAGTTTAAATTTTAAAATTTTTTCTCTCACAAAGTTCCCACTAATGAACCTAATAGATAATATCTTTCCTTGTTCACTAATAAATTGACTAATTAAACTCATGTTTCTATAATCAATTCGATCCTCCGATTATATCGGGGGCAAATGCCTACGAAAAGATCACTTACATTTAAGAAAGAGTCACTTGGATTTATCCATGGGCTTTTTATTCCTTGTCCCGAAAATCCTAATGCTATTTTGATCGGATCAAAAATAATTTTGAATTAAAAAATAAAATTGCTTTGTTTTGTTTATATTTAAATAAATATATGATTTGTTATATATAATATGTCCTTTTTTGTCTTCCTTGGAATGGAAGGCGGATACGCGAGCGATTAGTTCGATCTATTTCTTTAACTCCCCGTGAATTGTATACCTTCCAAACGGACCTTAAAATTTTTATTCTTTACTCTTTATTAATACTATTTTAATTAGTATAATTTTTCTACTAAAGGAT